TGCAACTAGGCTATCTCCACGACGCGTTTTGCAAAAATTGGCGGATTAAATAAAATGGGGCCCCCTGTATTGATAGCTTCTCCGCTTTTGTGATGTGGGGGCCCCGATTTGTGACACTCCCTTCGCCTACGGAGTCGATCGTATAAATCTCTCGATTTTACTATTCGTACAGTACAACCAGAAGGCCCCTTGAAAAAACTGTTGGAAGTTTAATCTGGGGGCCCCTTACGGGATCTCACGATCACGTATGCGGTCTTAATTATGCTGTAGTTTATTTCTCTGCCTTCATTAAACTAACTTCGTAACCGCAGTCGGGTAGGTCTGATGAATTAAAGATACGAGGCCTACTATGAATAAAAATGAGGCCTGATTATTTATTCATCTCTTCTGATAAATTATTTAAACTGAGGATAAGATCTGCAACGATTTTAAATTAACAAGAGCGTATTTTTTTGCCTAAAAAAATAACCCAATTAATTGCATAATTTTTAAATTTAGGATGGGGCCTTTGTTTAGAGCTTTAGAGCTTTTTTTTAAAATGAATATCTAAAATTTCCATTATTCGTTTATAAAAAAAAAGAAATTGGTAAGATACAACCCTATTTTTTATAAGGGACTCATATTCGCGGAGGCCTCAAATTTAGGTGTTTCGTTTCGGTATTGTTCATTTGTTACTTTATGAGAAATTTGAAAAGTGGTTGGGCCTCTGAGCTGATTGCGGCCGTAAGCTATTCATGTTAGAGGCCCTTCCCCTCCAAATAATGATACACGTAGAAATGTACGGCCTTGAGGTTGTACACTCATATATAACACGAGGAGGCCCTAAGCTGCAGCTTGTTTAGCTTCAGCGCAAATCCGGCCTGCTTCGGATAAGGCCTCGATACAGGACAGCTGTTCATATTAAAGGCCCTTTCGGAAATCGAAATCAATTTATGATTTCGTTAAACGTTTTTCGTTGGACCTCTTGAGATGCCGTTTAAAAATGAGAAGTTCCGTTAAATTTCAGGAGGCCTACTAAATAGGCCCTTCTGAAATCTAACAGATGCATTCGATCAGTGTTAATTCTCACGAGAAGCTAAGTAAATCGACACTTGACTAGTTCGAAAATAGGGGGTGGCCCTACTAAAGGCGTTTCACTGACGTCACCAGCAGATGTCGGGCGTGGATCTTTGGCAGATGAATAGGGCTCCACGTGCGAAGAGGGCACCGAAGGTCTCAATAAGAAGTGAAAATTGAGAGCAGGACCCCCAAGGCGGGGAGAAGATTGCATTTTTTTTTCTTTTCTTTCTTTTTTTTTTCGTTGTTTTCCTTTCAGCCCCGTGTTTGAGTGAAGGTAAACAATCTGTAAGAATTCATGACCCCGAGCTACTCGCCAAAAATGACTCCCCCTCCCCACCGGCCCTCTTTTTTCCCCTGTAAAAGGGAGCCGTTGCAGGGGTCGTTTCTACAGGGATGTCTATAGTAGAATGTTTGGTAACAGGTCCTGATCCCGATGCCGTACCTCATCCTTCCTATATACCTTCTCGGGCCCCCTGACGAATAAAATCCATCAGGAAGTCTTCATTAGCCCTCATAAATAAGTAAAATGTCATTCCATAACAATTAAGGGCTTTCAGGTGAAGAGAATCAGGTCTCGACCTTTTACAGATAAGCAAAGTGCGAACAAGAAAAAGATAAGAGGGAGATGATGTCGTGTCGGCACTTAGAAGGGCTGAGTACTAAAAGGACTTGTTTTTAGATTAGAAACATTTTGTAGAAGGGCCTGCGGGTAGTATTTATTTAGTGAAAGTGAATTTTTCGATTTTGAATTTAGTTCTTACCGATAGGGCCTCTCGCTTCCTTCCTTTATAGAAAGAGAGAGAGGCCCTGACTGATAAACTAAAGATCCTTCCATTTAAAAGGATGATCGGAAGGCCTTTTTTTAAATTTCAAAACCTAAATTCTCCATCTCTTCATTAGTCAAAATGATCATCGGGATTTTTTAACGGGATTCCTCAGAGTGCTAATTGTATTCCTCCGAAAATTCACGTTTATTCGTCGTAATGCCTCCGCATATGGGGTCAACAGTTAGTAAATATGTTATATTTTCAGGGCCTTGTAATATTTTTATAGTAGAATGAAAATCCACTCAGAAGCGAGTGGTCTTTCCTAGCGAGGCCTGACAGAAATGTTTTTTATATTCCTGTGTTATCTAGAAATATCAAACACTGCTGTAACTTATCAGGGCATAGAAACGGTAGACTCATTTTATAGCTGCAAGTATCTACTGGACTTGGGTCATATCTTTAAAATACTGATCTAAACTTGTACAGAAACACGGCTCGCCCAACTCTACTAAAAATCTAAGAGCCCTTAAAATGTCTGGATCACTCCCAAGAGAGTGGAGAAATAGTTGATAAAAAAAAGGAGCAGGGCCCGAAGGCTAGAAAGTGACAGGCGGGATGACATTATTTCTGAGGACCGTATATCAGTGGTCGTGATGGATGGCCCTCTATTGTCCCGCCCGTTGACAGCTGCAGGTAGTTTGTAAAACAAAAGTGCGATAAATCACCTTTCACAAAGCCCTTGACAGGGGCCTCGAACGAATTAGATCACTTTTCTGTAGGTTTTTGAGCCCTTCCGGCCCTCGTCACACATATTTCCGCCTTCTATTCCGCTCACCGGCTTCGGTATAGAGGTTATTTAAGAGGGCCGATGTTTAAAGGAGAGGGCCTCGAGTCGAATGGATTCCTTTAACCGAATTTATTTCCGAGACGTAAACTCGGAAAGAGGTACCCTGTAACGACTCATTACACATCAAAAGAAGAAGGTCTTACATAAAGTATCTCACCTCTATTCCCTCCTTTTAAACCCCTTCTCTTTAACATGGGCGGGTGCTTTACGAGTAGAAGGCGCTTATCTTCTTACGACAGGTTTATTACTCACGTGACACGTGACAAGGTGAACCGACACCGTGCCTCCGGGGCCCCCGTTCTTCTAAGCAATTATTCATTTTGCTTACCCGACTATTAGTATTCATCCGGAGGCCCCACCACGTCCTATGATTTCTATTGTCACTGGCTCTGCACTTTACTGACCCAGTGAAAGGAAAAGGGCAGGTGGACGCGAAGTTCTTTTTTTTTTCTTCGGTTGTTTTTGTATCGGGGTAGATCGGGAGCCGTTGCACCTGCTCGACCTCTTGAACCATCGAAACAAGGATGCAGACGCACGTAACCAAGAGAGAGAAAAATAAAATCCGTTTGGCTCGGCTTATGTGACGAATTGCAACCGTTACGTCAGCGTGCGTCACCCCGCTTTTAGAAAATCCGGGTAGAGAAGGGTTTTCCATTTTGCAATAAGAAAATCTTATTTGCAGCATCCTCAAATCGTTGGGTTCCTTAAAATTCCGGTTACGTCTTGCGGCTTCTCCGGCTTCATTTGCATAATAAGATTCATTGCCATTGCCAAATTGCTATTTCTAGCATAGTTTTTTCAGGTTATCAACCGAAAAACTCATTACAAATGTTCTTTTAGAAGAAAAATAGCCGAAAATTTAATAAAATGGTGTTGTCTGCGCTGGTCCATGCGAAAAAAAATAAGAAATCAAGATGGCGTCGAGTTCTTCAAACCCATCCGACACGAAACTATTTCATTTTTACGATTATTGCCGTTTAAATTACAGACATTGTTTTAATTTCCGCCCGTCCCACTAAGCAACTGTCCCAACCACCTGTTGAGCCTCGAGGCTACATCGAGCCTCTTAAGGTTAGAGGGGGGAAGAAATGATTGTTATAAAACCTAGCGACCGTTAATCCAATCAAGTGCGTTGTTAACCCCATTGCACTCAGGGCTAATTCTAGAAATCATTGTTTTAAAAGGCCAAAAGAAGAATTTGGAGGGCCCCCGATACGTTTAAAGAACAATAAATGACTAATGGCTAGAGGAAACGTCATTAATTAACCACAAAAAATAGACAATGGAACTTGGTGAACTGCGACTCATGAGGAACTCTCTCGACGTGTAACGCACTTGACTTTTAACGTATTCTCTAGGGGGGTACGTAACCGTTTGGAGGCTCACCATTAATTCTAATACTTATTTTAAACTTAATTTATGAAACGTTGCAGCGTGCTGTGCTTCATAACAAAGTCTACAATCCAGAACGGCTGAATAAATAACAGAATGGTAACACGCATACAAATGATTTGTTATCGTAACTGTCGAAGTATGGAGCTCGAGCGAGGGACCCATTTTATAGATAAAAAAAAAATCCCATGCGGTGTGTTGCCATTTAAGTGCCTACCAGTTATGCAAATCGGCATCGATCGTACCCGAAATGAGCGTATTTTTGAATGTTGCATGCTCGTAAAAAGATGCACGATCGTGAGGAACTCCGAAAGACCAATGTGGCACCCTCTAAATCTACGAAGCCAAAAGCCAGATCGTGAGGCACTAGTAATTTATTTACATGACCTGTGTAAGAGATGGTATTCGTGCCCCCCTCTAAATGTAACCGCGCACGAAAAATCGACCCCCAGCTTTTTCAATATGGCTCGCCATTGAAGCCATTCAGAAAGGGACATCACGCGCTTTTGTGAGTCAGTTTATTGTGTTGGTACCTGGAGTCCGGCGATGTCGCATCGTAATTGCAAAGGACAAGCGACGGCAGATGGCGCAGCATGCAGAATAGGAACCGGTAAGCAATCCTGCAGCTTTACCTCCCCTTCTTTCCCACGCTGAGATCGAAGTGTGGGAATTTACGCCATATGGCGGAGGGAGACCTTGCACTCGAGGTATGCAGAACCAAGTCCATTCGCCCCGGGCGATAGACTCCCTTCGGTCTTCTAAGAGGGCTTTAGATACGCTCGAAGTGTTGCCCTCTACCATAGGTGTCAGCATGGGTGTATCCGGAACTTTTTTTACGTTGCCAGGAAAATATATGTTTAAAAAAATAAAATCCCCTCGACCACACCCGACAAACAGGACAGACGTAAAGAATAAAAAATAGTTTTTATTCATACAAATATATATATATAAAAAAAAAAAAAATTCACACGTTAGCTATAAATCTGTACATGTTTATAAATTTTTTTTTGGGCTATTTACATAGATTAATGGGGAAAAATTCGCCCATATCCCATAGTAGAAGCGTTTGGTACAGGAAGGGGCCGACCTGCATCGAAAAGGAGCCCCCAAAAAATTAATAAAATCACCCAAACTACACTTCGCGACTATAATATTAATAATTTCGGGGGGTGGATTCTCTTTCTCTCCCCTGTTTCGCATCACTTCCAAGTCTTGGATGGCTCGTCCCGAAAATTGATCTAGGCACAGAGAACTGGATGGATGGGTGCATGCTGTAAGGAGAAGAAAAAAAATGGTGCTAAGAAACCAGTTATTACACTGGCATCGATGGTTAGCGGTGTGGTGTTAATCCCTTATTTGTTACTCACCTGATTTACAAGAGCTTTCTGTGGCGCGTGAGGTGGTAAGATGGGATGTGACGGTTCCTCTCCCTCATCCACCGCTGAGGCACGGGCATCGTCGGGTTCACCACCAAGTGGCGTATGAGTTCTCGGATTTCAGATTGCCCCAATTGGTTTACGTCGATAGAAGATCCTGAAAACGAGAAGTGGGGGGAAAGGATTAGCGACAGTCGTTCCGAAAAAGATCACGTTCCTGTGCAACAGGATAAATGGTTTTATGAAATAATCCCGATGGAATGACCTTGAAGATAAGGGTATTGTTGGAAAGGATAACAATTACCTGTATCTACCAATTTGTTTGGGTGTGTTTCTTATGATTAATTAGTAGGAGTCGACGGTGAAAAAGATAAAGCACTTCCACCCCCGAGCCATACAATTTAACCTCGGTTTCTGGTTTATCTTAACGTGTACTCGATTATGATCGGTTCGTATATTTGCATGGGGTTATTGTTTCTCCATAATGAGTTATAAAGATCACGAGAATTTTGTGTTCTTGTTTACATTCTCAATATTAATTGCACGCGGTACAATTCCCTTCAATGCATTATACATTGTAGGGACTTTAAAGACCTTCACGATTGCCCATGAAACTTCGGTGCATACTTGAAGCATCTCTTATTAGAACAGCAACTCTAGAATCCGACTAAAGAGACATCTGTGAGAACTTTTAATATATTATATGCCCCATTAATTCTTGAAATCCGAGCACTTCTAGAATCTCATTCCAGAACTCCGCTGAAGAATCAGCAAGCGGTGAACCCCGAAAACACGGAAAAACACCTGGATACAGAATGTCATTTATGAAATTAAAATTGAATTCCTTCACGATTCTTTCTCGTATTGAAAGCTTACTAGCGCTTATCCGAGGGAGGTAAGGTACAAGATAAACGAGGATGGGATTATGGTTGTGTCAACTAAGAGGACAGTGCCCAACTACCTTCGGGGCCGTTCTTTAACAAAACACTTCACCGAACCCTGTGTCAAGGAGTGCCCTCGACTGATGGCTAACTATGAACTCGAAGAGGAAACAGGTTCTTTCTTTGTTCCCTCCGCTCCTTTGCACTAATAAGGTGTACTGGCAGGTGTCTGAAGACGTGGGATGTACCGCTGACACGTGCATTGGGGGCCAATGGACCGCACAAGGTCAAACTGATTAGACTTCGCCTAGTTCGCTTCTATAAAAACTCAACTTCGCTATTTGACTAACCTTTTCAGTTTTTTAACTTCGTTATTAATAAATTAACTTACTACGGGAGTAATTTCGGCTTCTCATACGTGATAAACACGGGATTAGTGTAATTTACTCGAACGAAGTTTCCAAAGCTGCGTCACAATAAAAAAAAATGGCGTCGTGGCAACAGTGCCCCTTTTCTGGGGAAATTAATATGTATACGGGAAGGACGTAACTGATATCATTAATCAATCCTCCCAAAAATACCTTCGGACAGCGTGTCTAATTAGCCTCCCCCTCTGCCAACCAAGAATCTGGATGGAGGGTAAGAAACACGTCAACACAACGTCGCAACAATAAAGACGTACAATATGTTATTTCGTTAAACACCAAGGGGGGATATACTGTTACATCAACAAGAGTAACTCCCGCGACCGGAGAAAAGCCGGAGGAGTTGTTAAAAGAGGCGTTTACACCAACATTTTCAACAGGTTTGCGTTGGGAGGTGCCCCGTCGAAACCCAGTCACACCTTCTACGGAATCGAACCCAGTTCCTGATTCCTTAAATAACATCTCTTTCACTCAATTAGTCTTTTGTGCACGGGCAAAGAGAGAGCTTCCTTGTTTAGATATCGCATGAATATGTATGCATTTTTTTTTTCTATTTTTGAAGGGGAGACATTCAAACGTGCAGCTGCCAGTAACAGGAGAAGGAGGGGAGACAAGAATTACCTTGTAAACACTGTGGCAGGCCTCGATTTCTTAATTTTACGATCAGGGCACTGTGGAGGTGGTCGATATATCTGATGGCCTCTTCTATCACCGTTACCTGAAAAAAAGGCGTGTAAAAATGTAGCGTAAAATTCAAAAAAAATCTACATTAATTGTAATTACTAAATTGCGTTTTAATTTCCATTTTTTTTAATCACAATTAACCGAGACTTAATGTCAATCAATTTCTTTTTCTCGTGTCGATTTCATAATTCAAAATAATCAGTTACGTTGTCAGTTACGTTAATAAATTCCGATTAAATCTCATCAATTTCACTCGTTAAACGCAATTAATCGGTCTTAATGACAATTAAATTTCCCATCTCGATAATAAACGGTTTCAAAATTAGCTATCGGTTACGTATCGGGTGGCAATTAGTAGCCATTTTTTTTCTCTCTCTCTTTTAATTTTATTTTTTTTACTTTTAGTCAATTACACCCCGTTTAAACTCGAATTAATTAGATGCTGACAATCACTCTCGATGACATGTTTACGAAACGCGTGGTCGTGTAGCAGCCATTCCATCAGGTAACCTGTATGTAACGGGTCAAGTCACGCCAAAACATTCGTAGAGCGTTGTCAACAGGCTCATTGATAGACACTAGGCAGACACGACGCCACCCAGCGGTAAAAAAAGGGCTCCTTTGTAGTCTAGAACGTGGAGAAAAAAAAAGGAAGAAAACAATACGGAGCAATATACCTGATTCTGAAAGAGGAGGACCCACTTCTTTTTAGAAATCGCTCTCTTGTGTGTGTGTGTACGTACTGTGATAGCGATCGGATAAATAGTTGTTGTTAAAAAACGATTCTTTAGTAACGAAATCCAGATGGAGTGTTAGCACTTATATACCAGATGTCTGCTACGTTAGATAACGCTGTGATGATAGGATTGCTCAGCATCTGGTGGTTGATCTGTTCCATATCCCACACTTCATACACTCCTAGTGGTTTTAGTGGTTTCGTAAAACCTGTTTTTGATACTTCGACGCCGATAGGATTTCTCCTTTTGCTTCCATATCAACGTCCTTTTCCTCCCCTCCCTCCTCCTCCTCGCCGGTTGAAAAATATAGAAGCATCCCGGCTGTCGGTTTTGTAAGATGACCCTATAACAAGGTTAGATGTCGAAACTGTTTTGCTTTATGGGGGTTTTAAATTGTAAAATCCTCCCGTTGTAAAAAGGGTAGGGCGGCATGCAACGTTAAATTTCGCCTTTCCGGATGATAATCTATTTGATTTAACGCTACATTAATATTTATATAAACAGTATGTTGCGTTTTTCCGCCACTGTAATACTTTATATAAAAGTTCAGACGGTTGCGGAAACGTTATAAACGAGTTTTTATTACACGTAAGATTACGAGAGAAAAAAAAAAACGTTAAATATCGGGTGACGTAAGACGTTAAGAGTTAAATCTAAAAAAAAAAAAAAAAGGATTAAAAAGAAGTGGAAGAAACCGAACGGCATCCGACGATTTTAAATTACAATTAACAGGGAAATCGATTAATAATTTTTAATTGCAATTAGAGAATTCCAGTCGATTTCACGTTTAATTACAATTAACGGTGCGAAATCGATTCATTTTCTTAAGCGTGTAAAATCAGTTTCACTTATTAATAAATGATATTGACAAATTATTAAATAGACACGTGTGAAATTGAAATTGACTAAATATATATATATTTTTTTTAAATCATTTTCATTGGTAAATGATAACCAATGAATGAACTTGAACGAAAAGGAAAAAACGATGACGTCGGTGAAAATTCCCGCGAGACGAAATTGATTAAAATTTATTTCTGTGTATTTAAAAATTATTTCGAATTAATAAAACACAATTAAGCCTTCGTTAATTGTAATTAAACAATAAAATTAATAAAATTTTAAATAAAAATAGAAAAACAGTTTCATTTAACGTTAACAATTCATGCATTCATATTTTAGTTGTTAAAAAAAAAAAAAAAAACATATTTAAAAGAAGCCTTAAATATACTTTAAAAGGCCTTTTTAGAAACTTATCTGAGACATTTTTAAGGCTATTTTAAATGCGTTTACAAGTTAATTATTAAAAACATATTTAAAACCTTAATTGTGTTTAATTAAAAAGTTAAAGGCTAAACGCTTTTAAACGCCTTAAAAACGTGTTTAAAAAGTCGTAAATATGTTTAAAATGAAAAAAGTTTTTTTTTTAGAAAATGGTAGCCTTTTAAAACTTTCTAAAAAACATATTTATGGCTTGATTAAACGCCTTAAACAGGTTTAAATACGGTTAGAAACTTCTAAAAATTTATGCACCGATTGTTCCGTTTACCTTTGAGACGTGAGGATTTGTGGCAATGGATGGTACCATAGACCTTAAACGTTGATATTCCCTTTTTTTGAGAAGCTTCATCTTCGATTTCTTATCTTTCTCACCGGTTTGCCTTGATCCTTTCGGCAATTGTTTATCTTTAAGTTTGTTCTCTTCCGTCCATCCGGCTTTTGTTTCTTTGTGTATTTTCGTCATATCAACTGTTTAAAAAAGAAATAATAACAAAAAGACGTCAAGAACCGAAACAGCATTTATTATCATCAATTATTGTTAATAATGGAGTGCATTATATAAGAATTTTGCAGAGAAGTGTATATTGAGATGGTAGTGTCACGAGAACAGCCCATCCCTCAGATAGGGTTACAAAGCAAATACGTGAGTGAGTTTGTCCAGACATGTATCGGGGATGGTGAGTAAACTCTAGTGATGTGCCACTTTCGTAGGCGAGTGCGTGTGTGTTACTTCATTTTTTTCTTAATTTCTTCGTTAAGAAGGGAGTGTAATTAGTAATATTATTAAAGGGGGAGGTTGGCGTGGTTTTTAAGAGGATGCCACGATAAGTCAAAGAGCATATGCCAGGTAGAGAAATAAAGGCACAGATGGTATCCAGATCTACTAATTACATCCTTCTGGGAAACGATGTTGCGAGAAGGGGTCTGGATATTGTTGGCAACGTCGAGGCCCTCTAAAAGTCTTCAGAAAACGCCTGGCAACGTCGATGAGTGAAAAATTACAGTTAAAAAAATTTAATCTTTTTCTTGCTCTTTTTGGCACTTTTTTTTTTTAATAACCTGGTTTCTATTTTGTAACACATAAAAAGGGGTGTTGCGCTTCTATCTGCGACAGTTCCAACGACATTCCCATCTGTCAAGTGTGGACAGAATCGAACCAGATGTTAAGTGACAGACCGCTTTTACAAAGAATATGCTGCAAAAAGGAAAATTTCGACCCTAAAGCGCAGGATGTTTGCTATGTAACCCAGGGGTATACGATTTTATACAACATCTGGCTCGCGGGTGTACGAAATACATAAGTACAAAAGCTCGAAATTTCCGAATTTTTGTATTCGGTGGAATGGTTTATAAAGCAAAAATTTAATTTTAAAATAATTTTTTAATGATAATAATAATAAATAATGCTTACCTATTGGGCGAATTCACGGCGATTTTACACTAAAAAAAAAGTTTGAGTATTAAAATTCACAGAGTTTCAAACATAACTTCAGAGGGCGCTTATGTGACTAACAATCGTTCAAGTCCACAATCGCTATGGAAACGAAAACTTTACCTCCCCTATTTTACTTAACTCATCTCTTCTCCTATTGGTCGAAACGTTTCGTCCATTCACATATCAATCCGAGTAAATATTTGCATTTTATACGTTATCTATACGTCAAAATTAATATTTTTGACGCAAAAATACGACTGTTTAATCGAACGGTATTAAAATAATTAAAGTATTTTACGATTTAATCGCGAATATATCGAAACAACGCGGAACTATTTTCTTTCTATCGGCATACCTCAGCGCTCAAGAATACATAGAACCGGTTGTAACGAATGAGGCAGATGTATATTTTCCGATCTTTTTTTTTTTTTTTTTAAAGTTTTAATCCGATAAAAACTTGTCAATTTTATTTAAATATTATTACTTCTTAATAAGTTTTATTTATTAATTTAATTATGCATTCAACGAGTTTGACATGTGATCGGTTTTTAGAAAAATTTTTAATTGCGTCACGTGAATTTAAATATTATCAATTTAACTAATCTAGTTTAAATCGCGTCACGTGACCGGAAGATTAGGAACGGAAACGTGACGTCAAATAATTATAAATATGAAAAACTATTTCGTTTTTTAATTACGGCCGGTTCGAATTATTATTTTCTGCTTCGAATTTTATTTATTCCAGAAAATTTTCGAATTTAAGTCAGTCACGTGACGAAGTAAGCGGCATTACCGATATTCATTTGAATTGTTATTTTCATTTTAAAATAATGTAAACTTTATTAATTTTCGCTTAAAATGTGTGAAATTTTATGATTTTTAAACTAAATTTCTTTAAAAATTTACATTTAAACTGAAAAATATCGTCTGATTTTCAATGCCCACGTCACAGTTTTTATATCGGAATCGGATTGGTCGGATGAAACGACGTAATTTAAATTTAAATAATTAAAACAGTAAAATTATTATTATTATTATTTTTATAAAGTGAAAGAAAATAAATGATTGAATAATTCATAAGAGACGTAATAAACAATTTTAAAAAACACCGTTTCCATTTTAAATTCATTTGTCGAGTCAAGTCACGATTTTAATTGCTAATTGGAGGAATCGGGTGACGTATTTTAAAAATTTAAATTTGAAAAAAAATATCTCGTTTTAAATTTAACCAATGATACGGACGGAGGCGGATAAGATCGCTAGTTGATTGGTTGTAGTTTATATGTTTCACATTTGAATTCGGTAAGTTTATTTTCGCACGGAAAAAAAACGTTTTCGATTTTAAATTACAAATTTAATCTCTCGGAACGATAAATATTCAATATAAATTATTTTAACACGATGCTATCTCTAATACATTCATCGAAAGCTTCGCTCTATTCATGAATATTTCATGAGTAGCATCCTGTTGATAGCGTCTACACAAACAAATTAAAAAGCGAACGTATTTTAAGGTGACAAAAATCGGGAGGTGACACCACGAATCACGTGATTAGCACCTTAACCTCGCTGCGAGTCACGTGGCAGGCTTAAAAATGTGCGCCTTTTACTCTTCAATCCGCGTAGCGCGCAGTTCCACATGTCTTGGTGTGGTATATGTCTGACGTGCCAGGGGTCATAGGTCATGGTAATACGATTTGTTTCATCCAGCTGATCAACATTAAACAGAAATAAATGCATTAGTGAAATTGACCCCTGTCATCTACAGATCTCACGTGTACAGTACATAATGCAGGACATAATGGAAGAAAATAAGATATTTCTACACAGTTTAGTTTTTGTCGGGTGATTATTTTCCTCGCCGGTCACGTGCTTCTGCTCGAGATTTCCTCAAAAATTTACAGAGGCTCGATTGTATGATACGGCTTATCGATAAATTTCGCGAGAATGGCGTGACGTAAAACTCAGATTACATGGCAGTCGGCCGAGAAAAATAACTTCGTGACCATATAAGAAACGAAATAATTCCATAACAATCACGTGAGAGACAGTGAATGACATCTCCGGACAGCTGGAACGTGTTTATTGACAAGTCACGTGCATTTTTTTGAATTGAATCGGTATCCACGGACCAAGACACGTCCCTCGACAAGAATTTAACACCAGATGATAGCGATGTATACGGGGGGAGAGAGAAAGAACCTTTCCGGAAATACGAGTCACGTGGTAGAGAAATATAATTAAGTCGTAAAAGATGTGAGACGTCATAATAGACATTTGTATCACGATAATAGGGGCACTCACGTAATAATGTCACGTGTTAAGGAGCTGTTAAAAGGGTAATGTTACCCTGTAAATTCTAGATTTGAGGCACGTGACTTCGTATCGTTGACTAAATGATAAGTCTACAAGCAGTAAATTATGGCTGCTGCTTTCGGTGTTAAGCGCCAATTCGTCTTCTTTAAAAACGTGGAAGCTGTAAACTCGACACGCGGTCTGTAAAGTACTCCTCTGCAAAATATGTAGGCCTACTTATTCACGAGATTCTGTGATCTGGCTAATTTAAGGGGTGCCGAGGAATGGGATTCTTGTCGAAGAATTGGTTTACAATTTAAGATTCAAAAATTTGAGGCCGATTTTAGGAATAGCATTGTGTACCTTCGTCTAGACTCTAGACCAAACCCACCCGTGACAATCCATAATTTTTGCCTTGCAGATTGTAAAAGTACATCTGTGGGCAGTGTTTAATTATACATTGTCACCAATATAAGGCCCTAAAAGTTGACACCGATCAGTCTCGACAGATTAGGAAACACGAGACGGGGTGGCCGCCCAATTCGGCTGGTATATGCATTACACATGTCTGCTTCTACTCGGATGGAGCAACCCGAAGAGGGGCAAAGGGCTTCGAGTTCTGTTAAATGCTACTGTATCTGTACCAAAGACCCTTAGAAGGCGGTGGATCAAAGATAAGTATCCGTAGCTGGATCAAATAAAGATTTGTCGAACATGTGGTCGGGCGCGGAAGGACCACACCTTTTTCCCTAACCTTGCAAAGGTCAATCACATCTAAGGGCTTGATAACGATGACATTTTTAAAATGTCCCTGGCCTAAATTTGTCACTGTGACTCAAAATAAGTCGTCTAGGAAGACTCATTACACAAGCATCGGCCCTTCTAAACGGATATATATTATAATATTTTGCCATTTATAAAGTGCACGAAGTATAGGGTTTACGTTAATGTTATTAATGTTATTTGAAAGGTAGAGTAGCACCTGTCATCTATTGCAATATGGGGCATAACGCGTGTTGGCATGATGGAGAGGTTATGAGGTCAGAAACCAAAAAAGGTTTCTGCTGGAAGCGCCTGTACGGCCCACACGAGCAGGAATTAACCCGAAAGCAGGACGAAGATTGGGCGTTGGGTCAACTTCCTGCACTTTTGTGGGCGAATTCGGTATTTTTGCTAGTTCCTGCTCTCGGACATCCGATTCTTCGCACGAAACTTTTACTTTGTAGTCAGATATTGTCTCAGAATGAGTAGGTTCAACGATGCTCCATTTCCTCTTTGTCAGTCACGTAATATATGCACAAATTCAGTGATACCACGTGACTAGAACGTTACTGAATAAGATGCCGTTGGGCTCGTCGCTCCCACCTTCATCCCACCGGGTGATGCGTGACGTTTTAATAAAGAATTCGAACCGTGATCCGGATGCCGATGCCTCGCCCGTCCTTATAACGGTCGATCACGTGAATAACCGTCTCGGTTGTAAAAGAGTTCCGACGGGAATACGTCACCATTCATTCATAAATTCCGCAATGAATGAAATGCGATGACGTCACGTAGCGATTGAAAATTTTCTTTATGAATGAGCGGAGGAAATCCACTACGTAGTTCCCACAGGAATTATCATTCTTTACAACTACAATAGCCATAACAGATGTGGAGAAATCTACAAATAAACACAAAACGCCAAATTTAATTCGATTCTGCTTATGACCATACTTCTTTCTCTTTCTTTTCGGTTCCGTTGCGAATCTCTAAAAATTAGACAGCGTGGATCCGGATTTATTCAATTACAAATTCAAACTTTATTAGTAAATTTGGCCGAAGGCCAGTCTACATTGGGGTTAATAAAATTAACATCACTGTTTTTGCATATACTTAAATAATAAAGAATTAAACAGCTAATCTGCTTTGATGAAAATACTCATATATCCCGCGGTTCCGGACTAATAAACACGGAACTCAGAATTAGGTTCTATTGGAATAAAAATTTATTTCTATCAGAGATAATTTAATAATAATTACAAACGTCGACAGAAAAATTGAAATGATTTTCGTCTTATTTTAATTCTTAATCACGCAAATGAAATTAATTTTACTTCGATTACAAATACGAAAATCTTATGATTAATTACGCTTTTGGAAGCGCCTCCAAGTTGACAAAATCGTAATTAAAAGGCAGCCGATTAATTACGCCCGGTCACATGACCGATTAAATAATTTGATAATTACAATGACAAATTGAATAAAATAATTCAATGAGAATTAGAAATCTATTTATTTAAGATAACTAAAAATTAATTAACTAAGGATTTTTTTGCCCAGCCAGGGTGTGGACGAGTTATCCGGAGTGCCGGGTTACCGAGGGTCGAGTTTTCGAGGTTCTACTGTATTAAAAATAAATACTGTATTTAAATCATGATCAAATTTTCAAGAAACAAACGTTTGTATTGAATTTGGACTACTATTGACCAGCGCTAACAGACTAGCTATGGGTGGCTGAAGAAGACGGATTTATATATAAGAATATAATGCATAAACCTACAAGGCGCGAGGCATAGGTGGTGGCCCACGTTGCCCATGCTTTACGCTGCCCTTGGTCATAGAAATGATGTAATTTGAATATAAATTATATATAAATACGTATGTCTAGTTATATTCTTATTACGACGCAAAATATATTTAAGAGTTTACTACCACTGTGCTGGGTGAGACGTTGTTGAAACAAAAAAATGTTATGCATTCCATCACGTACATAAACAGTGTCGTTATTCGCCAAGTGCAAATCAGCAAATTCGTAAAATTTTTTGTTTATTTTCAACAATCCGGATAATAGAGGTCCGGATAATCGAGGTTCTACTGTATATATATATATTTAAGGAGTTTTGTCCAGTTGCTCCCAGAACAGATTACTTGTAACCAAAATTTCAGGATTATTCGTCATTTTCCATGCTATCGTTTCTGTTTTTTGTGACAGAAGTCCGCGACGATTTTAAGGTGGGAAATTTGTGTCAGAAAATGTGACGTTCATTACATTTCCCACTTTATTTATCGTCGCAAATTCTGCACTCGATGCAGACTGGATTTAGTTTGTAAATTCGACAATGTCAGATTAAAAGCATCCCATTTATCGTTTCCGAAATAATTTTTGTCGCCGAGTTGCCGCATCCGGAATCAAGCCGATTGCCTGCGTGAATCTGAAAGCAGCTTTTTTGTTTCTGCCCGATAAGATTTTCAACAATAAACACTTCGTTTAGTTTTTGCCGAATGGTGAACAAGGAATTTTATTAGGAATTATGAACAATTCTAATACCAAAATCCAACAGTTCTAATAAACGTAGTATATATTATTTGTTTTTTTTTCTTTTTTTTTAAATAGGAATGTTCTTATAAAATTTCAACTCGGATCACATTGACGTCTTTCAAAACACCTCCGTTTCGATTAAAATTGTTATTGCTGAATATATAAGTTACATGATATAGAGACTCTGCAATCGGTACAGTCGATGTCACGAAATGATATATTCTTTTTGAATAAAGAAAAAAAAAAAAAAACAAAAGCGTAACCTTTCTCTGTCTCGTTTCGCCCAGTTTTAAAAATGAGAAGCGAGGATTATACGAATTAAATATTTCATTTACATGCTGAAAATATCGGTTTGCATGCGATATTATAAAATGTGACAAATAATGGCAAGGGGGGATAAATCAAAATGCATGCTTTATGGCACAAACTGGCAGTGATTCGAACACTACGGAATTGGTCTGACAAGTAACTAAGAAGAGCAGTTTAAAATGCTCTCCCGATAAACATTTGTTAAGCCAACAGGGGCATTTCGCCCGGAGAATTCCACCAAATCTCATTGATTGTAAACAACAATAAAATATATATAAACACTTCTGATAAAGCAGTGACGGCAATTTGGGCACAAATAAAAACTAATCGAAGCATTAAGAAAAAGTATGATATTTTTGGATCTTATTTTTGACATAGATGTAGGGAATTCGATCCCAGTCCTTATTTCTAATCCCGGGNAAGTCACGTGACTTTATATATCAAAACTTTTTAATTAAAAAAAAATGGCAGAATTCGTCTTACGTAGTGTGAATTTATACTTGTAGACAATTTTTAAATATTAATACATTCTTCCTTTTTTTGCTCCACTTTTTTTTAAGTTTATTCCGAAATAATAAACAGACATGTCACGTGATAATTTTTTTTCTTTTTTTTTTGAGTTTCTCTCGGTAGGAGGAGTTATGGCAGGTCGGATCGGATAAATCCCCGAAAGTGACAGCTTAAAATGGGAAGATAAGCGAAGTGTAAAGAAAATAAAAGAACGTTCGATAATTATCATTATGCAAAAGCTCGTTAGTATGGAAGTAGAAAGAGCCGGGAGCCACAATTTAACAGTGATAAATTTACAAACACACCCCAAGAAGCTCCTAATTAGTCTTGTAGAGAGTCTTACAGACTATAGATTGATGAAATTATCCAAATTATCACCTGCTTGACCCCATTCCACGCTCGTTTGTCTGTTTGTGCTTTAAAAGATTGCATAAAAGAAGGGGGAGGAGGAAGGAAAATAATAATAAAAACTAATTTCGCAGCCGGTATTGTTTAAATCTGTGAATGATGAGGTTTCCCGGTAGCCCGCTTTTACAACAGAAAGGGCCCCTTTTTTGACAATTCGGGGTCCCGGGAAATTAATGGATCGTTGTTTGACCCGAATCTAATTACAATACGGTTCCGCGACAACTGTGAAATTTTAAAATATGGCCGAAAATTCGTATTTTTTAAAAAAAAAAGGTATTTAAACTGGCAACACTTGTAGATTTTTTTTTTAAATTTGAATTTACGGTCACGTAATTGGTTAGTTTAAATCGCTGGCGTTATTACGTAATTGGTACGTATTCGAGCATTGTTATTTAGTGGAAATCGTAGTATTTTGTTGCTCGTTTTTTACAATTGTTACTGCAGTAGCATCGTTTCATGTTAATTGTTACGCGTATTTAGTTGTATTGCTTCATTATTGCGTAAATTTAGATTGCATCTAATCATTGTTACGTACTTATACAGTTACGCAGCTATTGTATCTACTGTTTTAGAAGACTTGACGCATCTTCAACTGTTTCATGTGTTACGTCAATTCGAAGATTATCCTGTATTCACAGCAAAAAAAAAAAACACAATAATTTGATCCTGCACAGTAAAAAATGCACATTAATACAGTAGATAAGTTCCCAAATGGCCAACACTCTAGGGATTATTACTGGTGTTAATGTCAGTTAAATAGTGTTAAAAGAAGCGGGACGAAGAACACGTGTAACCTAGTAAAAAAAAATGTTAAAATGCAATTTCGGTGGCATTTTCTGCTATTTAAATGGAATAAAATCAGTATTGTAACACAGATCCTTGTGTTCAAAATATTAATTTTGAAATTCGTCACAGTAACGCGCTTTAGTAGTAGTGTTACCAGAGAGCAATGCTCTAATTAATTATGTAGGATGTTCATTAAAATTAAGCATTCTATGTAGTACATTCGTAGGTTTGATATACTGTACATACGAATAGGTCATAGCAGGAAATACAATTGTGCACATTGGCGTAATAAATTGTTCTACGATAAGGAAACAAATCACGTCTCGTATGTTATTAAAATCCGCATAAATAAACCAATATTATCATTAACACAAGTTAATTAAGATGCACAAAATAATGCCCCGATTCCGATCACCCATACGAGCGGATGGAGCGTGCATGTTGCACGAATGTATTTTTACCGAAATTTTCAACAAGTAGTTCGCGAGCAACGTTTTCGAATCTCATCGCGGCATTGTAAGCGAAGGTTGAGAAACGCAGAAAATTCTTATGGCGTTTTTCTCGTTGTTGTTATGGTTCCCCCACGCAAAAATTAATACCGGGGATGGACGTATTCGATTTTAAGAGATAGTATTAGTTTTTTTTTCCTTCCTCCCTCCCTCGTCCTAAATTTTTCCATTCAGACGATTTCAAACCGACCGGATGTAGCAATTTCGGATACTATCCATCCCATTCACTTAATTCACGCACCGGCAAACAAGCGAAACGGAATTTTCAAAGAAGTGAATGGGAATACTCGCAACAGATCCTATACACTTCACGGTATTGTCCTTCGATACGGTTTTGAAACTTTTTAACATTTCCTCCATGTCTCCTCCCTTTCTCCAATTACACTGAATGGAGGAAGGGGGAAAAAAGTCGAAGGATTCATGGACATTTTTTGCTAAGGGAAATTATAGTTTGAAAAACTTTAGCATTTACTTTAATAGAAAACCTTACGCGCCGACGATTTTTACAGAATCGTCGCTACCTACTCAATTAAAATCGAATTAATGGGGATTTCAAAGGAAATGATCGAATCGCCGCCTTGTGGAGTATTTTTTTTTTCCGACGAGGGTCGCCATTTTTGAAAAAACGGCTGTAATTCTGTTATTTATTTATTTATTACTTTTAAATCGTTTAAAAATCATTTTGAAATATTTTTATATGAAAATTAAATTTAAATTCAAAACGAAATTTTAAACTTTAAAAATATAATTATAAAATTAAAAATAATTCATACAGAATTTATTAATTAAACGAATGCGTTTGAAGTAGTATATATTAACACTGATAGATGGCAGTGAAATATTTTATATAAGCTCCATCTGTTGAGTAAAAGTGAGGTTAGTAAGTTAGAATTAATATTTACTAATTAATATAAATTCAAAAAAATGCAAAATAACGATTAAAAATTCTAGAATAAAAAAACTAGATTATTTTAACTAATTTTGCATCGTGTAAAGAGAAAAAATCTTTGTTAGAAAGTATTTTATAAATTTAGCTCGTAGCTTTGATTAATTGTAAAATTAACAGGATGCGTTTATTTATCGTTTACCAGCGTTTAATTAGGGGCAATTTTCTAAATTATGCAATGAAAATTGTAGAATTTTTCGCTTCATTCAAAATCATATGACTCGTTCCGAACCAGTTTCATTCGCATGTCATAACTCATTCGTAAATGCTCTCGTTTAGTAGCGTCGATGATTTTTTTCTTCATATTTTAAAATGATTTTAAGAAAATCACTCGCGCGTAGTTCCTCGAGTTGTAAATACTTAAAATAATTCACGATAATTTCGTGGGATTTTAAAATTACCTACATTTAATGTTTCTATAATGCAAAATTATATACAGCGATTGTATTGTGTAATTAATTTTTATTATTTTAATTGATATAAAAATAAATTTTATAATTACAAAATTACATTTCTATATCGATTAAAATATTCGATAAATTCTTAATTATATTAAATATGACATTTTCATTCGCTAGAGGTCACTCGTGAGTCGAAATGGCCGCCATCTGGTGGACACGACAATTGAGCCTAATTAATTAACATTAAAAAAAATATAATAAAATAAAGTCAAAATTTTTCACTCGAACCAAACTTATTTTATTATTATTATTATAATAATTAAAAAAAGGAAAAAATTAGACGATATTTCATATTTTAATTTATAATGGAGTTTCATTCGTATACACAAAAACAAAATGGCGGCGGAGGCGTTGTTGTCGCCTTATCTTCCTTTAATAGGCCATTAAAGTATATTTCGATGCAGTTAAAGTAATATATATTGTTACTTCTGCATTATTTATAATTAAAAATACGTAAATATAAATAATAAAGTTATTATATTTTTGATCACGTGACCTCTTGTGGAAATTGTTATCCGATAATACACGTGACGAGCATGGTACCTTCTAAAATCACAGTGGAGTTCTTCTATGACGTCGTTTCGCCCTATTCTTGGATTGCCTTCGAGGTGAGTCGGTACTTTTTGTCAAGTAACGCACCCCAAATTATAAGCACATGTGTTAAATGGTCTGTGTATAGGTGCTATGTAGATACAAAGTCAAGTGGGGCTTGGATTTGCAATGGAGGCCATTCTTCTTGGGTGCCATTATGAAGGAATCAGGTAATTTCCACCATAGAGTGATCTGTATAGCTATTGTATGTGATGTTCAAACCTGTGTTTACAGGTAACAATCCACCTGCATTTGTGGCGAATAAGGCTCTATACATGAGAGAAGACTTGAAGCGATTGGCTGATTACACTAAGATTCCGGTGTGCATACCGGAGGTAAGTATAAAGGAGTGAATACGTCAAATGTTTTTGCTGTTTGCGAACGGTTACTTTCTAACAGAATTTCTCGGAAATCATGAGGAACACGCTGGGAACTCAGCGGTTCATCACGGCGGTAGACATGAAGTACCCGCAGTACACCGAACAGCTGTCCAGACAGTTTTGGACGAAGATCTTTAAAACTGTATGCTTTAGTAGAATTCGGTACAAATTTGAGTCTGAATGAGGCGGTTGGGATCTTATCGGAGTTGCGTAAGTGAAAAAGTTACGCAGACCGTCAGTTTCTGTGATCTGTCATGAGATATAACCCCCAATTTTACCCATAACAGAGTGCGGAATGTGTCTTTGCACCCCAGCAGTTGGTATGAGTACTCTGGTAAAGTGAAAATATCTCATTTTTAGCATTGTTTTTGCTAATAGTTTCAGATTTTTTTCATTTAATTTTTGGGGCCTTAAATTTCAGATACGCCAACAATGAGGAATAGATCTCACAAAGGTCACATATATTGTCGGTTTTTTGACATGTTTACTCCCGCAGGCACGATCTACAGCTCCGATAAGGTCCCAACTGCCTCGTTCAAGCTGCATTTGTACCTAAATTTCACTTTAATATTTTACGTTCCTTAATTTTGCATGTTTTGTCGATTAGTTTGAAGACGTAACACAAGTAGAAAGCATGAAAGAAGTAAGTTTAAATCAGATTTTCTTATCTTTCCAAATTTATAAATTGAAAGCATATTATGTATTGCAGACGGCAAAGGAAATAGGCATGAAGGATTCCGAAGTCAATGACGTGGCAGCAAAAATAACCGCAAAAGAAACTAAGGACAGATTGAGAGAGTTCACCGAAAAAGCATTAAATTACGGAGTACAAATTTTAAACTTTTGCTAATTGTTATTAGAACGGCATGTAAAAACTATTCTCGTTGCAGGGGTTCGGATCGCCTATTATTGTGGCTCACGTCAATTCTAAGCCAGAAATGTTCTTCGGTTCGGATAGATTCGAGTTATTGGCTCACGTATTGGGTGAGAATACAGTTAATCTTTCTTATCGTGTCGATTTTGAAAATCGTTACATTTGGAACTTTAAATTTTAGGTAAGAAGTGGGATGGACCACGTGCAGGCAGCAATTTATAAGAATTTTTAATAATTCTTTTCTAAACTTCAAATTTGAATGTTGTTTGTACGACAGTGTAATTCTGGTCCCTGGATGTTAAGTATGGCGTATGTTACACAAGGATCCGAAATGAAATGACCGATTTATAAATGGGATATTTATTTTCTAGAATTAAGCATTAATAAAATTTAAAACCCAATTGTTTTGTTATGTTCTTTATAGGAAAAACAAATTAAAATTTGGTAACAACACCCAGATTACCAGCTGCAAAGTGCACCAGTGGCTTTGCTGCTGTGGTGGACCTGGGTTAGAGTCCTTTCAAATCTTCAGAAGTCCTGCTATCGGACACACTAATCTTTGAACTCATCGCGCATTCAAAAGAAGAGGCTCTCTTAGTGCTCGCAGAACAAAGAGAGCCTCTCTGCCCCGCAGACAACAGTCGAGCCGTCTGCACTTACTTTTGTAGAACAGCCGCCGTTTTCTGTGATGTTAGTCATCAGAAAAGAAAGAGAAACAAACTCGCTAATGGAACAGATGTTTTTATTTCCTGTACAAGTGATGCAACATTTTTTTTTTTCTACCAGGAAATTTAATTTACAATCAAAAGATATATCTCCAGTATGGAGTAAACAATTTCTGGTAACCACGGCTGCAATTTCGACTCCAGGATTATCCGTGATATTTTGTACGATTACATCCATTTACAATTTGCATTTAAGTAAGAAAACAAACTCTGTTTCCGACAAAATCTTTGAGGAGTTTCTTGCAAGCTTTATGTGACCGACGGTAATCGATAGACTCTGCGGCAGAAAATCGAAACACAAAATTGCAACGTACCTCGAGTTACGTCTGCTCGTAAATTTCGACCCGGTCCGAAAATTTAAATTGGCGCTCCACTCCGGCCCTTCTTACAAAGCGACAACTTAGAAATAGGAGAAACAAACAGATATTTCGAAACCGAACACGGTCAACTCGATGACTGACTTGGCATTGGTAATTATACTTTTTCCATTTGAATTTCAAAGGATTAAAAATCAATGGTATGTGCAGATTTTTAAACATTCTGAAGTAAATACAGTAGAACCTCGATTATCCGGACTAATTGGGGATGAAGGTAGTCCGGATAAGGAAAAATCCGGATAATCGAAACAAATACTTTAATTTGTCTTTTAGTGATAATACAACACATTTTCTTTCGATGACATATCGGTAATACAGTAGAACCTCGAAAACTCGGCCTAATGTGGACCGAAGGGTGGCCGAGTTTGCGAAAATGCCGGGTTATCGGGAATGGGGTTAAAAAAGGATAAGTATGCGTGTTTCCTCAGAAAATAGTGTACTGTACTTGTATGTATTGTTAACTTGAGAATACAACAGAGAATAAACTGCCCAAATACCCTTAAACAAAGGAAAAGTACGTACTTTATGAAGGCATAGAGCCTTTATTACATGAAAATGAAAATTAATGAATACACTGTGTACAGTAATTTACCTGATAAGACAGACCTCAGAAAAATACTTTATGAGAGCTTTTATACTTTTATAAAGCTGTCTATAATGAAAATTAATTAACTAAGGATTTTTT